ATTTTATTTTGTTCTTTTTTTAAATTATTTTATTTTATTTTTTTTGTGTGGATTGTACCTATATCTCGTAAACTTAAGTCTTAAGTATATAGTTTGAATATTATTGTTGTATCTATTCATCTACTTGGTTGGGTTAAAATAGTAATATAGATAGTTTTTAAGAACAAAGACGGTTAGATGGAGTAGCATGAGCTAGATCTCGCCGTCTGTTATCAATGTTTTATAAACTATATTTTTGGTAAAATAAAAGGCATTTATTATTATTATTATTATTATTATTATCTTCATTTAATAGTTATTCGCATTTTACGCGCATGATGGATAGATGGCAGCACTTGTATTATTTTGAACTTTGTGGATATTTTTAGAATATTAGGAATTATTATTTTGCTGATTCTGAAATGGGAAAAAAATACAACTTTATGATGAAAATGAGAAGAGATGGAACGTGTTACGTAAATGATAAATTTATCGTAACAACACGTGCGTTTAAACATGACTACAAAACTAGTGTGATTAGAACAACTCGGTCTACGACGTCGTCGTTCTAATCTTTCACACTCGTTATTGTAATCATGTTCATAAACGCATTTTTAGGGTAAATAACTATTATGTCACGCCTCACATGTTTAAAGTAGGTAAAGCACATTTTTTTTTTGCTGAAAATTTATTCGGTTATAACTAGGTATCGGGTCTTCAAAAAAAAAGCCAATCAAAAGTTGCTATAGTTTTTTAAACGTATGTCTTAGCAATATTTTTGTTTAATTTTGTCAATGAACTTTAATGTCAAAATGTCATGTCAAAAATCCTGACCAATAAAGAAACAATAATGCGACATACGTTTTCGTATCCAAAGCAATCTTTGATTGTTTTTTTTTTGAAGACCCGATACAATATACAAATAGGTAGGTCGAATTTTATTCAGCGCTGACGTTTTGATTTGGTCTGAAATTTTGATTTCCAGTCTATTGGAAAAAAACTTTTTATTCTCTATTTTGATCAAAGAAAAGGTCTGCACTCTATGAGCAGTGACCAGAGCTAGAAATGTTCCACTTGAGAGTCAGATCCTTTATGGATAAAGAGTCATTTGGGTAAGAACCTTTCAGGTTATCAAGAACACAGGCCGGGTTCCAAGTACACTAATATTTTGGTTTACTAGAACGAAGATTGTAAACCCCCTTAAAAAATCTATTTATACTAATATCGCTAACTACGTTTGAGCCAAAACCAGACTTAAAGCAGCCCGAAAGTTATTGAGAGAACCATAAGACTTGCCATCATTAGAACAGTGAAAAATTCTAGCACTAAAGATACAGATGCAGAATATACATCAACATTTTTTAGTTTACAAAATTTCCACCAACATCTATATGCAGTATTATATTGTTTCATTGTGGAACTACGGACAGATGAATAAAGGATATCCATGGAGCCCTCGGGAATATTCCTCCAGGGTAAGCTTCTGCCATGATGGATGGGGTTGCCTCTCAACAGATAAAAGTAATTTTTTATCAGATTCAAAAATTATCAATTCAGATATCAACATATTATCAAACATCGAAAACCAAGGTTGGCCTTGCCAGTATGGAAGTACCACAATGCCTGTAGCAGAATCATTATTGATTTTCCTCAGCGCTCTAGGGAGCAAACAAAATGGGGGGAAAGCGTAAAAGATAGAATCTGACCAAGTAATAGTGAAGGCATCTACATTTGCAGCCTCTTGGTCATTTATATGTAATTTAGCTTCATCAGGGTTCCAAAAAGCCCTTGAAGCTGTAGTATAGCATACCCAGGTTCGCTCAGTAAGATTGAACGATGAGAATTTTTATTACCTTTCAAACAACAAATCTCCTGAAAAATGAAATGAAAAACCAATAGGACCTACGTTGTGGATACTTACTCAAATTTACTTACTGGACATGCGCCCGACATAGCAAATATTTGGGAAATTTAAGGGAAGCTGTAATATGTAAAAGAAACGCAAAATTTGTGAAACGCCTCCTTGATTATCAAAGAAAAACGTACCGTTCTCGACCTGGAATTAACGAGGGGAAAGAGAACGGCAGAGAAAACCTCGATTCCCCAAAAATCGAAACATACTGTGTCATTTTAGGTAAATAATCATTGTGAGTCACAGTGGCGGCTCTTCCTTAGGTTTGCAGGTTTGCGCAACCCCCAAAACAAAACTTAAAAAATATAAAACAAAAATACTAGAACTAACTTTTAGTACCTAATTATATTTAAAAAATAAATTATACCAAAATTTGGGACCTACATAATACGCAGTCGATTAATAAAATAATTTGACCAACTTCGCCAAAATATCAATAACTGACAGGCCGCCGGCGACTTCGAGTAGCGGCGTCGAGTCGCTGGATTGCAGCTCCAAAGCAAACCGATCTATTAATGACGGCGCACATTTGGTGGCCTGGGCCGAGATTCTAAAATCACGATTCGACACACGACTCGACAACGATACCGGCCTTGTCGTGTCGAAAGGTATAATTCCAATGAGATTTCTAACCTAGAATCGTCGGAAAAATCGTCTCGTTGTCGAGTCGTGTGTCGAATCGTGATTTTAGAATCTCGGCCCTGTCTTTGCGTGGATTCGATATCCACTCCATAAGCTCCAGCAGGTTACAAGCTAAGTGCAAACTTTGTTTATTTTTTTTGCTCGCAGCGCAGATTAGGTTTGTTTTGTGAAGTTTTGTCGTGTGGGGGGTGAAAAAAAAAAGAATTCCGTTCAAAATTTAATTGCCGAGCCATTCTGTGGGCGTTCATCAACCGATAAGGCTGAAATAAAAAGACTTGGAAGGCCTACTCCAAATTTAAAAATTGAACAAACTGTAACTAGCAAAAAAAGGACTTTCACCAGGACATTTATTCTGGACCTTCACGAAAAACATGCATGATTGTACAATTGAAATTGCAACCCCCACATTTTTAATATACGAGCCGCCACTGGTGAGTCATTAATTCAATAATTTAGGTCAATAAAAGTTCAAATTAGGTACCGCCCCTGTTCTTGTGCTAAAATTTCAATTACACACACTACATTCAATCAACACTACCTATATTCCAAACTGAAGAGTTTTTGGTTAGTTAGCCAGTTTCCCAGCAGGTACTGAGGTCCCATACGGGAAGCTACTCAGCTATAGTTGAGTTAGAGCCAATATCTCTAGATTGATTATTTCAATTTGTTAGGATATTCTCTCGTCAGGTAGGAAAATGTTAGTAAATTCAACAAGGCTCTAATGCACGCTCTGAGATGAAACGATTTTGGTTAAATACATAAACAATGCAAATGTTATAAAAAATTGTTATAAACAAACAAAAAAAACATAAAAATTGGGAAAAAAATAATAATACAGTAGTGTCGTGATAATCCGGATCAATTAAAACCAGACCAATCCGGATTATCAAATTATTCGGATTACTAAGGCATTTTACAGTTCGCTTTTGAAACTATTTTGAAAAAATAACATGCCGTATTTAAGCAAAAAAATTTTATATTTATGTGAAAACTCGTCTATAATCGCTAACTTTTCGTTGAGACTTAAAGTTTTGTGTTTGCGTTTAATAGGTTCCATTTTCTTTAAAAAAAAACCACACAGTCAGGAAAGACGCCGCGTATTAAATGATGCGTGTAGACATGTAAAAAACTACCTATCCACTTGAACGCAGTTACAAAACGACAAGTGAAAACCTGTGCTTTCATTTTCAAGAGTCCTGTGAATAAATTCGGATTACCTAATCGAGTGAAATCTGAATTTCAGAGTACATTTATTTCGAGACACTACTGTACTTGCGTAAATTGAACTCTCAAAAACCAAATAATAACTAATCCACTAACCTGTACGTTCCTTACACACACACACACTAATAACAAATTGAATTGAACAATTAATTTTAATGCAAAATAGGAATGAAAATTGAAAAATGAATAATTACAGACGCGCGTCTCGGAGGGCCGCCGCTTGTTCTCCATTCCAAAGCCTAATCGCTTATTCTTCTTTACCTCCCTTTCGGATGGTACCCTCGTTGTCCCCTAAACCTAAACTCTGTGGCGCAGTACATGGTTGCAACATTTAATTTTATTCAGTAAACGTTTTTTTTAAAAAATTGAGTTTTGAAGAAATAATATTTTTAATAGGTGGTTCTTCTCAAAGCCTTTCCTTGACACGCTAAGCCCCAGGCCACTGGAGTACTATTTGAAAAAATCTCTAACGAAACACAATGTTGCCTTATTGGGGAAGAGTGTGCTTCCAAATCTTTGAACCACCATCTAAAATCAACAATAAGATCTTTAGAAAGAGCCATTGAACTATCATAATTATTACTATAGGACTTTTGCAAAGCAAGAAACTTTGCCCTCTCAAATAACTTAGTATGCACCCAGCCATATGCTACTGCTGGACATATTGAAACCAGGTCTCCACATAATTGGGCAAAATCTCTAATCTCACAAGACTTCATTTTCTAAAATCTATTCAGAAATTTCAAGACATGTCTACACTTGTCATCTGGAAGGTTCAAGGTCATAAGCTGCAAGTTCAAAAGAAAACCTAAAAACTTGCAGCTACTGTAGCTACTGCCAACAAGCCAAAAATCATCTAAATACACAACTGATAAGTAACCTTCGGCTCTAAGAAATGAAACGATAGGTTTTAAAATATCAGTAAACATCCAAGGTGCTGTACAGAGCCCAAAGGGGAGTATATTAAATTGATACAATTTAGAATCAAAAACGAAACGTTAGTATTTTCGATGCAATAGATAGTAGATCTACGATCTACTGTTGCCATATAGCAATCTTTTGAAAGAATGGTTTCAGCAACTTTCCGATCTTCAAGTTTAAAATGGCAGGGGTCAATAAAACAATTTAATTTTTTCAAATTGAGAACCAAACTAAAATTGCCATCTGACTTCAGAACTAGAAAAAAATAAACTGTCCATTACTAGGCTGACACTTGGATACAGCCCGAATATCACACAAGTGCTTAACCGCCTGTGTCATATTCATTTTTTCTTTTTGTGAATAAATTGGTTCCCTTGGAACCAAATGCTGCAACACTGGCCTAGAAAAAGTGATATTATAGCCCTCCAACCAAGAAAAAAGTAAAGGATCACAGGTATATCTTAACCAAAATGATTTAAATGCAGATAATCTTTCTCCAAATTGACTTACTGCTTGTTGAACTTCCTCGGAGGGAACTTCCTGCCCCTGACTCATTCCCTCGAGATTCCTGTTTTGCCAACTCCGGCGTTGATGTTTGTATTTCTTTTGTCGAAGTGGGCTCAAGGAGTTTGGGTTATGGGCCTTGAGGGTCTGTGGTGCATACTTCGCTTTGGAAGAGCCAGCCTTAAGATCAGCTACTGACTTGCCAAAGGATTTGGCCGTTTTGATTCGCTCACCTAAATCTTCTCCGATCAGGTAAGTATCCAAAGGAACTTCTGCCAATGCCTCTCTGAGTTCAGGCTTAAAATTATTCGAATTCAGAGAAAAACTTAAAATAGAAGAATTTTCCATACTCACAATCACTGTTATGTATTTTACACAGTAGAGATGTATCTCCCAAATGTTCAATTAAACTCAAAGTCTCTTCGTCTTTGTATGGACGATTCAATAGAATTGACTGGGCCCTTGCTACTGCTGTCAAGGCGATACCAACCTCTTTTTGACAAGCAACTAATCTCTCATCTCTCTTACGACCAGCCTCATTTAGAGCAGCTCTGATTTCAGCATTCAGCTTAGGAGAAACAACGAAAGGGCGATTCTCTGGTGTTGGATATTCTGCCAACGTCAGGTAATGTAATGGTTCTTCCACTTACGTCTGCTTTTTGCGGTTTGCACGCATAGCACGAAAAACCCTCTGATCTGTTGAAAAATGCAGGTAGTCCAAAATATTAAATGTTAATCTTAGTTTAATCTAGTGGTGATGTAATGTAGACACTAGTGGTTACTAGAATGTTTAGTGTTGTTTTGTTTAGTTGTCATAATTTATGTCAGTTAGTCAAAAATAAATGTAAAAACTTATATGGTCGTTCCTGATCTGTTCCTGATTTTGTTCCCGAGAAGCTCATTTTACCTCTGAAATTGTCCACTTTCTAACAGGTTATGGAAGCCCAGATAACGCGTATGTATTAAATAGCGTTTAACGTGGTCTATATTTGTGTCCAAGTCGAGAAGTTTTATTGTTTGTAGCAGAATGACGTCGAATTTTCTTGCCAGTGTTCCAAAATTGAAAGGCAGAGAAAATTATAGGGACTGGGCGTTTGCTGTTGAAAATTTCTTAGTGTTGGAAGGTCTCCAGGATTACATTAAGAATACGATACCAGCGCCCACGACAACGACTGCAGGCGTAGCTACTGAAACCGAAAACAAGGACATAAAAGCTAAAGCTAAGTTGATATTGACAATTGATTCGTCAATTTTTGTGCACCTTCGTGATGCCAAAACCACGAAAGAACTTTGGGAACGATTGAAAAATCTTTATGATGACTCAGGCTTTACGCGGAGGATCAGTCTTTTGCGTACTTTGATTTCTGCAAGGTTGGATAATTGTGATTCAATGGAAGCATATGTCAATGGTGTTATTGAAACAGGTCAGAAATTAAGAGGCACAGGATTTATTATTGATGAGGAGTGGATAGGCTCTCTACTCCTAGCAGGGCTACCAGAAAAATATTCGCCCATGATTATGGCGATTGAACATAGTGGTATAGCCATTACTGCAAATGCCATAAAGTCAAAGCTGCTAGATATGGAATCGGATACGGTCAGTAAAACAGGTTCCGCTTTTGCTGACAAAGCTTGGCATGGCAATTTAAAGCAGAAACGCTACGCAGGAAGCAGCACCTACAATAGCCACAAGAACACCAATGCGACCAGCAGTGGTAGTTACAGAAACAAAAAGGATATACAATGTTATGGTTGCAAGCAGTTCAGCCACTACAAAAATAAGTGCCCAAATTTGCCAGGTCATGGAGGTACCAGTTCGGTTGACACTCTCACTTCAATGTCATCATCAGCTCATGGGCATAAAAATAAACAAAATTTAAATGCATTCAATGCAATCTTTTTAAGTGGCGAATTTTGTAAAAGTGATTGGTACATCGACTCAGGAGCGAGTGTTCATTTAACTGTGCATGAAGAGTGGCTGGTTAACGCCAACGAAACGGATGTGAAAGACAATGGTCACGTTCAGCCGAACTCAACATGTTGAGTGATTAGTCAGCGGCTTTGTTGAAAACAGATGAAACTCAACTTTTGGCCAATCAAAACTGTTCTACGTCGTGTATTTCTCTTGTTGGATCAAAGTCGTTGACTGATCACTCAACATGTTGAGCCCTGCTGAACGTGCCCATATTGTTGTAGCTAACAGAAACAAGTTGAAAGTTTCGTGTTCAGGTGACGTTAACATCAAAACCTTTGTATCGAATAATAGACCGATCTCCTATTACCTGGACTGCGCGCGTCGCTTGTAGGCTGCAGGTGAGCGTCCAATGAGAAGCAAGTTTGTGACAGGCTGGCGTCATATTCTTATTCAGGGACCAGTTCAGAATGAATCGTTCCTTCTTTCTTTGTAACGCCTAATTTGACAATGAGCAAACTAATACTTTACATATTACTTGAACTCACCGCAGTTTCGTTTAAGGTTGTTAGATTATACTTGACATATTCCTTTGCAATTTCATTGAGCGATGTTGCCGGATGAAACATTTATCAAAATAAAAGTGCAATCGATGTTCATCCACTTTAAAGCTCTTCTTTTGTCTGATTTAAGACGTTGTAAAACACTTTACACTATATCACTTTTTTAACGTTATAATGTTCGATTTGTATTGTCTACATTTGTTCTGCAACAATACAATCTGGCTACACTGCAGCCTACGAGTTGCGCGCGCAAGTCATCTTTTATTGCTTTCTAACTTGTATTTATTACAATTAAGCTCTCTTTTTCTAATCATGCGAGACAGGTCTATTCACATGATATTGTTGTAAAAAATGTTTTATGTGTTCCAGAGCTAACCACAAACCTTTTGTCAGTTAGTCAACTCATTCAAAATGGTAATGAAGTAGTTTTTGATCGAGATTGTTGCAAAATTTGGAATGCTAGACATGAACTACTTGCTGTTGCTTACCTTGTGGATGGAGTATATAAACTAAATGCAGGTAAATCTAATAGTTGCTTATTAACAGTAGATGGTAGTACCTGGCATAGAAGGTTTGGTCACACAAACTCCAATTACTTAAATAAAATGAAAAATTAAGTTCTTGTTGAGGGTTTTTACTTTAAGGATGACTTAAAAACTTCTAAACAAAACTGTGTAGTATGTTGCGAAGCCAAACAGTCAAGGTTGCCTTTTTCTCAACAATGTCATAGAGCATCTTCTATTTTAGAGCTTGTACATGCTGATTTATGTGGGCCCATGGAGGTGTCATCCATAGGGGGTTCTAAATATTTTCTTATTTTGGAAGATGATTTCTCACGTATGGCTTTTATATATTTTTTGAAAAGTAAAGACCAGGCACTTGATTACTTTAAAGAATTTAAAAGCTTGGTGGAAAACCAAACAAATTTTAAAATTAAAAAGTTCAGAACCGACAATGGTGGCGAATTTTGTAGCCGCAATTTTGAAAATTTCTTGAAGAAATACGGTATTGTTCATCAAAAAACAAATTCCTACACGCCTGAATAGAATGGTTCATCAGAAAGGCTTAATAGATCTGTAGTAGAAAAAGCTAAATGTCTTTCATTTGATGCTGGTCTTGAAAAAAAGTTTTGGGCTGAGGCTGCCAACACAGCCGTCTATTTAAAAAATCGTACATTAGCTGCAGGATTTTCCAAAACTCCTTTCGAGATGTGGACAGGTAACAAACCTGATGTAAGTCACTTACGAATATTTGGTAGTAATGTTATAGTCCACGTTCCTAAAGCTAAACGATTAAAATGGGACAGTAAAGCTCAAAAAATGTTTTTTATTGGGTATTCAGAAAACATTAAAGGATATCGAGTATATAATCCACAAACAAATAAAATTTTGACAAGTCGAGACGTTATTATAATGGAAAATATAAAACCAAAAGAAAAGGAAATGGTAGGCATTATAATAACAGAAGAAAAAGAAGCAGATATGCAGAATGAGATAGAAAGCATAGCTTCAGTGGGGAATAATACATCAGAATCTACTATAGAGGAATACCAAGAGGCAGAAAAAGATCAAACAGGTGGTTTTATTCCAGAAAATGTTATCATTGAAGAAAATCGCAGAAAATCAAAACGATTACCTAAACCAAATCGAAAATTCATTGACTATGAAGTTTATATGTGTACAGGAAATATAAATTTACACGATGATCCAAGGACTGTTGCTGAAGCTTTGTCGAGACCAGACAGCCAGCATTGGCAGGAAGCGATTATGGAAGAATTATTGAAAGCTTTCGAAGAAAACGAAGCATGGGATTTGGTAGATGCGCCAAGAGATAACATTATAGTGCCTTGCAAGTGGGTGTTTAAAACCAAAAGTGATAGTGAAAATCAGGTGAGGTACCGTGCACGGTTAGTGGCGAAGGGCTTTACACAAAGACCTGATATAGATTTTTTCGAGACTTTTTCACCAGTTGTTAGGCATACAGCCCTCAGAATTTTATTGTCACTTGCTGTTCAGTTCGATTTAGATATAACACACCTAGACGTGAAGACTGCATTCCTAAATGGGCGTTTAAATGAAGATGTTTATATGATGAAACCGGATGGTTATAAAACATCAACCAAAGATAAAAATAAAGTTTTGAAGTTGAAAAAAGCCATTTAGCGATTGCGTCAGTCATCACGGGCATGGTATGAGAGGGTTGATGATGTCTTAACTAATTTATCGTATAAGAAATCAGATTATGAACCATGTTTGTTTACTAAAGTTAAAAACAAATTAATAACAATAGTAGCACTATGTTGATGATTTTTTTGTTTTCAGCAATGATTTTAAAGAAACAGAATGTTTAAAAAAGAAACTAGGTGTTAAGTTCCAGATTAAGGACCTAGGTCAAGCCAAACAATGTTTAGGTATGCATATTAATTATGATAAGCAGGAAGGTATTAATGAACTAAATCAAATACAGTAAATTGATCAGTTATTACGAAAATTTGACTTATTAGATAGTAAAACTAGTATTAATCCAATGGAGGTGAATTTGAAGTTAACTAGAGCCAGTGAGCTAGAAAATATGTCAGATTTTCCATACCAAAAACTGATAGGTAGCCTTTTGTATTTCTGTGTACTAACTAGACCAGATATTACTTTCTCTGTTAGTTTTCTTAGTCAGTTCAATAATGCTTATAATGAGGAACATTGGAAATATGCTAAAAGGGTTCTTAGGTATTTAAAGGGCACAAAAGATTGTTGTTTAATCTTCAGAAAATCAGATAATTTGGAATTAGTGGGTTTTGTAGATGCTGATTGGGGCAACAACTTATTAGATCGAAAATCGTACACGGGGTTTTGCTTTAAACTTGGAAATTCCACTATATCGTGGGAAAATAGAAAACAAAATAATGTGGCACTTTCGAGCTGTAAGGCTGAATATATGGCCCTAGCTGAGGCTTCAAAAGAAGCTATATACCTAAGAAATCTTTTAGACGAATTAACAGGTGATTTAAAATGTGTTAAACTGTATTGCGATAGTCAAAGCGCGTTAAAGTTATCTGCAAATCCAGTTTTTAACAAGCGTTCTAAACATATAGATATACGACATCATTTTGTCCGAGAGGCAGTTGCCAATAATTTTATAAATACGGAGTATTTGCAGACAACTGAAATGATCGCAGATTTATTCACTAAAAGTTTGTGTTCAACTAAACATTATAAATTTCTGAGGGAAATACTTGTATTTTGAGGGATAAAAATATGGATTGTATTGTAATATTTTGTCCTAGTGGGGGTGTTGAAAAATGCAGGTAGTCCAAAATATTAAATGTTAGTCTTAGTTTAATCTAG